CATTACAGATTATTAGCAGGAAGATTCAACTACCACTGTCATACCACCAACATTAATCCCTGAAGCTTTGGCTCAACATCAAATAAAAGGCATTACTTTCAGAAGAAACCTCATACATCAGCAAGAATTATTTCCCAAGAAAATATATCAATTTGTACATTAATTTTCATATTAACCAGGTTTCCTTATTAATTCTGAGGTCAACATGATTAAGTAATGTTCTTAATCTCTCTAAATATTTTCTTTTACAGTATTAATATAATGGATTAAAAAGGTCAAAGTATGTAGATAAAGTTAAACAGATAAACATTTATTTCTTATTATGATAAATATTATTTTTAATGGGTACACATATTTGAGTTGCTATCCCTGGTTTTTATTTTCTTAAGCGAAATTAATAACAACTGGCCCTAAATTGAGAAGTTCTACTAAAGAAAAACTGTGCCTCTGACAGAAAACGAACCTGCATCTCTTTTTACCATCAAGAAGCCACTTTTTCTTAACCAAAGTATGCCACTAGCAGCTTGGACAGAGAGCAAGTTTTAAATTATCTATTTAAGGAACATACATTTCTCATTGGGACTTCTATGAAACTATATCTATGAGCTTGTTTCATACCCGAAACATAAACAACAGTAATTTTTTTTTTTTTAATTTTTTTCTCCTATGTTATTTCTTATTACTATAAATATCATTTTAGTAGGTACACATGTAAGTTGTTATACTGATTTTTTTTTGGTTTTTTTTTACTAAGACTTCACAATTTAATTTCACTGTTTAAGAAGGTAAAAAAAACAGGGATAACTAAACACATTTACCTACTAAAAATAACATTTATAGTAATAAGAAAAACATTTATCTATTTTCATATATTGATTTTCCAAACATAGCTTAGATGTGGCACAAGGCCAAAAGTAGGGGGCACCCAGTGAGGATTAAACTCACTACTCAGTCGTAATTGTCCTAGCAAGACAAGCTTGCTAACCATTACACCACCTCAAGGTGGCCAAATCTATTTTCATATAATCCAACCAGACTCCAAAGAGAATTTCCATGAGGAAAATCTGATCCCTTTTTTAAATATTGAACCAAATCAGTGACAGCCGATACAAAATTCACAAGTAGTACATGAAATAAATATTCTTGTCAAATACAATTAAGTTAAATTTTAGTTTACATAATGTACAATTGAAGTTTACATGCAGCATTAGAATTTTAGATTAGAATTTTTTTCATGACTAAAAACTAAACAAGTTATATGTCAAAAGGAAGGCAATTCAAAGATCATTTGCTCAAGTTTTACAATACAAACATGAAAATGACAAATATCAATAACTTTGAGAAATCATTAACATACCAAATATTGTTCAAGTGCTAAATCTCATTGTATCATCACTTTTGCTAACAATGATAATCTATTCTTCATTTCTCATTGTGTGTACACAAATCATTGTGTCCACAACAGCAACTATACAATGCCATTTCTAAAGAATAATGTATTTTTATTTATTAATCCAACATTTTCATTTCTCTAAACATTATTTTTAATGAATACCCATATTTGAGTGAACACTGTTTAATTTAAACAGTTTTTTTATTTAGTCTACTGGCCTGAACATAAGAAATCTTACTAAAGAAAAATGCACACTTCAGCAGGATTTGAACCTACATCATCTGTGCATAACTGCTTAGTTTCATATCCAAAACATAAAATAAGGCAGATACATGAAATAAAAATACAGTTTAAAATAAACAGAACATCTACTCAAATATGAATAACCAATAAAAATAATGTTTAATGTAATAAAAATATGTCAGATTAATAAATAAAAATCCATTAATTCTTTAGAAATTGCTTTCTTTACGTTTCAGATATGAAAGAGCAGTTATGACTTATAAAGAAATCTGAATGAGTAAAGTGTGCTTTAAAGGCAAATAGAACCTTGCTTGATTATGAAACTCTTCTTGGCCAAGTGGTCAAAAGCAGTTCAAACAACAATCTCCCCTGCAAAGGGTGACACAGGTTTGAATCTTGCCAGAGTGCACATTTTTCTTTAATAAGATTTCTTGAACATTCAGGCTGGTAGACAAAATTATATATATATATATATATATATATATATATACACACACACATACACTACTGCTAGTGGACTCTCCCATCTTTTTTCAACATATGAGTGTCAAGCAACTCAGTTCGTAGGAACTGACAACCAAATACCTGCACATATGATTTGATTATAGTGCTGAAGGCTTTGTGCAAAACCAACCACACATTTTGAAGAGCCAAATACAGAAACCTGGTGCACTGCATGCCACAAGGTCCCCAAACAACCCTCCGCAGGTTTTGAATTCAGAGTTGTCCTTCTCCTAGATCAATTGCCATCCAAAGCTAAAGGGCCCGGTCTGTTCTGCTATTTATCCATAGCTCAGGTGAGAAGAACAGGATTCATACCTTTTCCAAGGATATTAGCATATAAGGGAATGTAATGGATTTGACTAGAATTCTAACTTGGCTCTCCAATTTCTCAGTTGGAGCCACTATCTATTACTCCCCAATGCATATATATATATATATATATATATATATATATGCATACACACACATTCTTAAAAAGTATAGACTCAAATTTATTGATCTTTTTTTTTAATATGCAAATAACTCTAGATGACTTCAGAATCTCCTGCAACTCTTCTGGAGGGTTATCTTGTTTAAGTTGATGAATGCTGCCATAATTCTTGCCTTAGTGTTTTTTTGTTTTTTTGTCCATTGGTCAACTATGCTCTACACATAATAGTCTAGGGAGTTAGGTGGCTAGATGTAAGGGGTGATGTGGTTGCAGAAATTGTCTGACAGCCATGACTGAGTCCTCCTGCTTGTGTGGTATGGTGCATAGGATCTTCCAGCAGCCACCCTCTTGATCTAGGGTAGCACTACCTCTTCAAGGGGCTTGATTTCACTAACCTGCCCTCACTAACAAATTCAAGAGTTCTTTTCTTATCAGAATGATCAGAGTGAGTTTTCCAAACTACCGTACCTTCATTAGACTCATTCAACGTTTTCAGAATCCTCTGCACTGTCCTCAGATTGACACCCAAACACTCTGAAATGTTGGTATTGGAGCTTCTGGTGTGAATGCCAAGTAGTACAGTTTCCAAATTTCTGGTGTTGTGAATTGTGTCATGGTGCTCTTTTTCTTACAGTTGGTGACAAATTGACCCTACTATACTCTGCAGTCAACAAAATCAAAAACAAACAATGCACAAAATGAAAAATATAAAATGGCGACAATTTAACCATCACACCATATTATATATATATATATATATATATATATATATATGCACACACACACATTTTACCAGTTTGTAACTGGAAGGGATAATTCTGAGGAGGATATAAATCCAGAGAGAGCTCAATGTAGACTACAGAGCATTAAAATGATAATTCCATAATCCATAGCTCTCTCCTTAAGTTTGGTATTTGTTTTGGGATGTCTTTTAATTCCCCAGTCATTTACTGTATCTACCTATTGTATCTGATATATTATTGTGATTTCTAATTATTATTTGGAGTAGTGACCACTTCATATCAATCAACCCACGGTATAAACCTATTTACATAGTTCTAAAAATTAAGAAGTATCTAAGCAGGGCATGCTAATAAAGCTACCACTACCCCCCACACACACCTTTCCCTTCTCAACAACTTCTTCTCCCTTCCACTTCTTCTATAAATGTCTCCACTGACTATAAAACTTCAGCCAAAAAACAAATGCTTAAGCTTCACCATAACAACATAGAATTTTATTTAGATTAATATCCATTTAATTAATCTGAATCAACCTGATTTATCCTGCATAAAAACAACAAACGGTATCAGCCAAAGTAACATACAAACCAATATTAAAATCTAAAAAGTGTAGAGTAAATTCTTGGTTGAGGAAACCAACCACTACTAACCACTAATCTCTCAGCCCTATCTTTACCCAACCACCCTCTCTCACCTTCACTCCCCACTACCAAGCTAAAGTGTCCGTCCATTCACAGAGCAGGTTTTCATTCTGATGAGATGAACATCTTAGCGTTCACAAAATAAAAATTATAAACAAAATGGATAATTAAGGTCTCCATCTTCTTATCACTATAGTTTCTCTGGATGAGACAAATATAAATATGTATATACAATTTTGTATGACTTCTGGGTATAAAACTCGATCTGTTATTCCTTTTCTTTCAGCTATTCCATTCTGTTTGTGAAATAAGGTATTTTTATATCATGGATATTATAATGCCATTAACAGGGAAAATATAAAAACTGTGAGGATATTCCTTTCTTCTACAGTTCACCTATTGGTATCAAGTAAAAAAAATAAAATCTGTCATTGATGAGACCTAATTATTCCAAGTCAGATGGAAACTGCAGGAACACACAGTAGTACTTTGTGTCTCCTAATATATGCACAACAGAAATCCTCATGATGACACATGGGGATTTCCTGATGGATGACTTAGTTGATATTACTAGAACTACTGTATTATAAAGACTTGGTTAAGAGAATTACTAGTATGTTTACTTGCAAGACCTAGACTTTGATTCAGCAATTCATCAAACATCTGGAACGGTTCCAGCAAATGAAGCTCAGCAACTGAGTCCAACTGTCAACATGAAGAGGATCTGCAACGTGCTGCCAGAAGGGCCTAACTCGCCCAGCCACATCCACTACCAAGTACTCATGTCTCTTCAGGAATAGGCTGACCCTTCACAGCCATCTCTGTCATCACAACCAGCAGAGAGAAAGAGAATAAGAAGAGAAGATGAGGATTCCAATGCTCAGGTTCAAGTACATGCCGACTAGCATGACTGATTCAAAGATAACTTTTTTTTCTTTAAATACCTAAAAGACAATTAATTTTTGAAGGCCTATTTCAAAAAAGGTTATACTGCTGTATTAGTATCAATAATGGCAGCAGAAGCCTCAAAGAACAAAATATTTTACCTTTGGAATCCAAACTGCCGTACCAATTCTTCATTACTGGAACCTTTGAGAAAAGAAAGAAAAAAGAAAAAAACAACCTATGAATGATATAAACATCTAAGAAATATTAGTGAAAGGCGTTCAACAAAAGAAGTTTTCAGTTTAAATTTTTTAATGTTTATATAAAAAATGTCCAAATATTTTGGCAATTTTGCTAAAATTATGACTTCTTTTTGCTGCATTTTACAGTATGACAAATGTTCAGATTTATGAAATCTTTGCAGTGTGAAATTATGATAGAGTTTAAAATAGGTAACTCATTAATAACAGATAAATTAACATTAAAGCCTAAAAGGCTACACTAATACAAACATTGGTTGTATTTACCATCAAGTAAATGTATAAGAACAATCATGATCTAATGTAACTAAATGTAATTTGGATGAATGCCGTTCATCATTTACTCATGTTTATTTTAACAGTATGATTTCTATGGTAACAAAACTTACTATTTATAGAAGTGGGGTTAGATGTACTTCAGCTATTTATTCTATTATGATTTTAGTTGTGGAGATTATAGTTAGCAAGAAAGCCACCAATCTCCAAATACTTAAACAACAATCACAATCTTCCATCTTTCTGAATCCTGTTCTTTTATTGTCCTTTCTCCTCACGAAAGTCTTCTCTTTCTCTTCCACTCCCAGTAAACACCTCATGTCATAGTGGAATTATCACTGTTTAAGGTGAAATGATTAAAAAATGTCAAGAACAGCTTCATTTCTAAATCATCTTCAAAACATAAAGAGGTAAATTGTTTAACTTATTGTTGCATCATAGAAATATAACCATCTCCATTTCTTATTATTGATCTCAGCCACAATTGTTGCTTTGTGATTATGAAGAGGAAGGCTACTAAGTATCAACCACCATCTTTCCCTGTTCTAACTTATAACATGAAGATAATTGGCAAGAGTACAAAAGTGGCTAGTTCTTCAACTGAGTTTAAGTTTTGCTCTCAGAAAGTAACCTATATTTTTTCTCCTTACCAAATGCACATGTCTTATGTTGTGGATTCCGTGAATGGAATCCTGCACAAATAAATTCACAATGCCAGTAATTGAGATAGAAAAATAAGTGTATTAAACATAAGAATACAGACTTGAAGTGAAGATTAGTAGTCCAGGAATGCGGGTTAGTAGAAAGTATATGTACAAGTCTCTGTAAGTAAAGCTGTAATCATCTCTCTCTTTCTGGACTCTTGTATAACTCTCTGAGAACACCCTGTGTGTCTCCGTATCTCCACGTATCTCAACAGCAGGTATTCTCTCTGTCAGTATAAGTATACTCTGGATGAGTCCATCTTATGTAAAAAAGGGAGAGCCCCACAACATCTTATCAATAAAAAAAAATATCCAGATTAATCCTTTTCCTCTGAAAGTATTAGTGTTAAATGACAAATGGCTAATTTTCAGATTTTAAACTTGATCAATTGATACCAAATGTCAACATTCTACCTTTACTCACTGTAGTTCTCTTCACAGAATTGATGCTTATATATTAGTTTAGCCAGAAAATTCATTCAGTTTAAGTAAATTTTCTACTTAAGCAAATGAACCTTTTGGTCAACTCAATGATTATAATTAAAGAGAGAGAGAAAAAAAAAAAAAAAAAAAAAGAATACTTACAGTTACCAAAAACATGTCCGTATGGTTCCTCATCAGTGGCTATTGCTGCCAACACTATATGAAATATGGACTGTGCAAGGACAGTTATAACACCAATTCCAAGAATAGCTTTCAACAGATTACCTGTCCCACCTGAAATAGGAAACAGATTAAATTAATTCAAAAATATCATTTAGTAAAACCCAACATAATTATGACATGAACTAGGATATGCTAAAACAAAAATGTTTTAAAATGCAGAAGCAGGAAATGGAGGTTTTTGTATATTTGTGCTACCACTACAGTAAAAACAACACATATCATACGTTATTAGCAGTGTACTATTAAAATGGTTTAACGTTAAGAATAAAGCAGTTTCCAGCCCAATTATGCTACGAGTTTCCAAGTAATTTTTCATTATCTATAAATTGAGGAAAAAAATGAATTCCAAATCTTTTAATAGTTTCTGTTTTTCTTTAGCAACCAACAGGAATAAACAGGTAAAAAATTTTGGAATTCAAGAAAGTTACATTTGCAAATAAATAATTATATTATAATAATTCTATAAATGAAGATTCTTCATATTAAATGAAAACCACCAAAGGCAGCATTTAAGATAGTAAGAATACAAATTAAGCTTCTAAGCAATGATAATTTTACAAGCACTAATTTGTCAAGTAAAATCTGCAGACACCTAGTTTCTACTTCTCTATAATTCTATTATATAGTTTTATTTATTAGACTGTTTTATTTACAAGAATGTTGTTTAATATTTTTGTTGTCAATTGTTACGAATGCAGATAGCCCAAACACGCATACACGCATATATTAAGGTTAATCTCCACTTGACAACAGAAGAGGTCACGTGGGAGTCTCGAGTCATTTTGGGGAAGCAGGTCAAGAGGTTGACTGACCCAGTTACCCGTAGCAACAGACGTCTAGACAGAATCTAGACAGGGGACTGACATAAGGTCATGAAGCAGCAGGAACTGGAATTTGCGCCAAAATGCAAGACACGTGGGAATTAGAAAATTACTTGGAAGTCAGTTGCTGTCTTGTCTTTGAAGGAGCAAGACTCGAAATCGAAGCACTGATAACTTATGAACAGAAAGATGAGACTCATTTTGGTAATGATGGAACTTGTCCGATTCATCATAAGCAACTCTGGATAAGAAATATAAGGATGTATATTTCTGTTCGTCAACTCCAGATTGAAGAAGATAAATCGAGTTATTTAACACAGAAGACACAAGGAAACTTGCACACTGAGAATACAGCCTGTGTTTGAAGAAAGAAAAGAGAAGACAAGAGAGAAGAAAAGTATATATCTCTGTTGCAGCCAGACCGTGTTTGAAGCTGAACTGTGTAAAGAAGAAAGAAAGAAAGAAAAGAGAAAACAAGAGAGAAGAAAATATATATCTCTGTCGCAGCTGGACTGTGTTTGAAAGTGAATTTGTATAAAGAAAAGAAAGAAAGAAAGAAAAGAAAGGATAATGAGTAAGAGAGAGAACTGAATATAAAGATAAGTAACTATATATTTTGGACCTGTGTTAGAAAGATACACATGCATCCATAAATTTTATGTTCTCACAAACACCTTTCCACATGTCAAAATAGTAATATATAAATCCTATCCCATCTCTTTTTTTGGGTTATGCGTTGATTTCTGCATTCGTAGTTATTCATACTTATATTTTTTTTATCCATTCAGGTTCAGTCGAATCCACTTGGATTTGGGCATATTTTGGTATCCCAACATAAGTCTTGAGGTTCTGGTTGTCGGATGCTTTACTCATGCTTATATTTTTCTTTTATTGTAATATCTTGTGTATATGTATATATTAAAATTCTTAAACCAAAATTTATTACACCTCATCGTTCATCCTTGAATTGTGGATCGGTATATGTGTTGAAACCGAAGCGAACCTGGGAAAAGACTACTGTTTGATTATCTCAATCGAACAGTATTCTTTAAAATATTTTTGCTTACTAATTGTCCATTTGTCATGGTCTGGGAGAGATAGCCTGTATCTCTCCATAGACGTGATAATGTATATATCTTCTGGTCGGCGTATGATTGCGTTATAAATTATTCGTCGAGTAGGGCATATGACACAATTCTCTAGGAAAAAGAATGTATAAATCCACTCTCATACGTTTGGATTTTATGAAAATTCAAAACATTGAAAAGCAATAAAAATTGCTGAGAGAGTATAGGGTAATAGCAGTGTCAAGAGAAAAAACATCTTTTTGAAACATCATTTTTTTTGCAGGTACATATGTTAAACATTGCCAAGATCTTAATCTTGCTTGTCATATATTGCACTCAGGGTAGGCTTCTTCCATTATTACATCTTTGGATGTTTCTTCATCTTGCTGGTCCTGTTAATCAACCATGACCAGATCTTTATTTTATTCTGTACAGCCATGTTTTGCTCTTTGTCTACAAGATACTAATTGAGAGTGCCTATAGAAAGGCTATACATCTTTCTCCTACTCAGAATCTCCTCAAGGCACTATTTGATCTGCATGGCTAGCAGACTGTTTTTTTTTTTACTATAATAATCATGTTGTAGCCTCTTTGCATTATAAAATTGAACCTTTCTGAAACTGACTAATTCTTTTTGTAGAGATTTGCTACAGTGTAGGGTAGCCCAAAATGATACACCCTACTATGCTGGTCATAACTTTAACAACTCAGTGGGGGTGATTTGAACTTCATGGGTGTGGAATTCTAACTGGGATAGAGTTGTAAGTTTTAATATAAGACTAAAACACATGCAAAGATGGTGAGTAAAGTAACAGAAATGGAAGAGTGAAGATGTTCCCCACTCCTGGATTCCTTAGTGTGTTGTAGTTTCAGTAGAGACAAGCCATTACATGGTAATGGTAAGTCACTGGTTAACCTGTTGCGATTGGTTCTATCTTCCACTCTCTCCAGCTTCCTTCAAGAAAATATGTTGCTGCTACTACTACTACTATCTTTCACCCCAAAATAAAGTGAGGAAAAGAAAACATTCATTCAGTCTGTGATGCAGCAGTGGTGCCTGATGAATTGCCAACAGACCACAAGAAGCTAAAGACAACCTGCAACATACAATCTTTATTTACTCTTTTCAGTTCAATATAGGTTTTGCATATAACGCCTTTGTATTAAAATTTAGTTTCTCACCTTCAAGACCACACATTACTGAACACAAGACTACATTGTTACAAACATACTCATATAACTTTTTTTAAATACCTTTAAACAATATGATGCTTGGCAAGCATTCAAAACATCTAAAACAGTTCAATAATTGCCAAACGACCAAGTGTAGAGTATCTAATGTATCTTTTATTGATCAGGATTCTACTTGGAAAAATAACAAGTTCTAAATCCTCCAATATTTCAAACTTTCCTAATTGGTATACCAGCTTAAAAAGAAAACCTAGATATATTTACGTAGGTTTTCTTTTTTAATATCTGCAAGTAAATCAATAAACAAATACCAAACAAAGCTTTATGTATTTGATGGCTCAATTCATAATATTGAACATATTTGAAGATGAAGTCACTTTTTGGTGGGTATCAGCTATAGAAAAAAGAAATCAATACTTTTCTCTTTTCATCACACAAGCTATTTGGTTACACAAATAACAAATGAATTAAAATCTAAAATTCAATCCTAACAAAAAAAAGGATAATGGAGGTACGGTGGTGGTAATTAAAGCAATGTTTTGGGGTTTTTTTTTTTTCTTCAAAACTTGAATTTATACAGCAGAAGCACTCAAACACCAACAAACTACAAACATCCCAGTATATTTATTGTGCAGACATTGCCTTTACCCAATAATGATATCCCAAATTTCCAGCAACCAGTTCTATAAAGACAGGTAATCTTTAGGAACCTATCTGCTTATTTTCTTTTCAATCTGAGAATGGAAAAAAAAATCACTTTATAGTATCAAAAGAAACCATTTTCATAATTTAATAGAAAACATTTATTTATTAAGATATTTCCAGAATTAAATTCGGTTATCATATTTCTGGTCAGAAGTATGATGCTATTTGCCTCTAGAGTCACATCAGCTGTGTCATGGTTTCATAGCCACGTTTGAACTGAATCGCTGTAGTCTTAAAAATCCAATAGAAGACCTATCAAATTTATGACTAGATTTGCTACATTTTTACCTTTAAGACAATTTTGTCAGAATAAATTATGTTCATTACAGAAAACCCTCTTTCAGCTCACACAGAACTTACAGCAATGGTATTAATTATATTTTTAGCTATTATATATCGGCTATTAATATATAAGATTATTATCAGATAATCCAACAACCAATTCACTAAGCTTTTATAATTTTAAGAATTGATTTGTGCAAACCACTGCTTCTACCTCTTAAACATACATCTTTGTAGTGGTAGCAGTCTTTTTAAAATCAATGTTTGAAGAGGGGGAACTTTAGATAAAACACCAAATTAAAAAAGACAAAACACTGGTAAAAAGTACACAAACAGCCTCTGACAAAGCTATTTTACATAAAACAAAGAACTAAAGCATAAAAAACAAATTTAACTGGGCAATCTTTTATATCTAAAAAAAGGTAATTTAACATTTGAACTCCAGTTTAAGGCACATAAATTAAAACTAATGAAATATCAATACTTTCAAAGTTTCCAAATTTAATGAAAATCCCCCAAAATTTGAAAAGGAAATCATACAGCAAAGGGAGGCAATACATATTAGTGTCTATAAGAAATAAATGTTATAGATTTTCACAAAGTAATCAAACTAACAGAAAAATAGTGATCCTCTACCTGTTGAGGTGTGTAACCAGCCTCAGAGGCTTCAGGCTGCCAGCAAGTTAACTGGGAATTGATATAAGGTTTTTGTAATGTGGCGTAAAAAAAAAAAAAAAAAAAATTAAAATGTGAATTAGGAGTGGAGTAAATTACTGAAGAAACAAAGTAAAAATGGTTATTCAATACAATAAATGAAATTGACAAGGGAGAAGCTGAGGACCACAGTGAGGTAAATGTAAAAACTGGATAACTTAAAATGTATTGGACTGTTCAAAACCTTACCTGCTTCATTTCTACCTTTTGCTCAAATAGGTTGACATGATGAACAGAACCTGGATAACAGACGTTATCACAAAAAGTTATC